TTCATTTACTTTTAAAGTTTCTTCATATAGCAATACAAAAATCAATGCATCGATGGGTTAAACAGAGTAGATTAGTTCACCTTTATCTTGAAACTCCAACTTGAGCAGAAATGCTTGTATTTGAACTTTAGCCAAGGCTTTGGCATAGTTGTTTAATCATTTTAGTTGTGGAATTAATGAAATCATAAATAAATAATCTTCATCTTGATTTACTTCATTTGAATTTATCATATTGGAATTAATTTTTTTAAATGTTTTCACTAATGTTTTATTAAGTAAGTCATCAGAATCTAATTTTTTTCTTTTGTTCCTAACTTTGTCATTTGAATCTACTCGCATCCTTGAATTTATACAATCTTTTTCAGTCACATCTTCAGGTAAATTAGTATTTAGTTCATCTAGTGGACAATGAATAATTTCAACTTGCTCGCATACCATGTCAACATTTTTCTCCAAATTTATTGCTTCTAATTTGGAATCAGAAAGTGAACAAATATTGGAGGTTGTTTCACGATGTTCAAAAGGTATTTAGCCAATCGAGATAGAGAAACTGAGGTGGTACTGAAGTACTTTTAGAACCTGATGGGATACTTTTTTTTGCTTTTAACCACCTTCCATAACTACTTCGAATGCTTTTATATTTTTCTTCTGCTTGGTTAGCAGTTAGGTTTGACAGACGACCAACTTCTTCCCAAGCATTTTTCTTTTGAATTTTGTCTTTAAACTCCTTATCAAATTTATCATACAAAGCAGGATATTTTTGAACTTCGCTCATTAAATCTGCTTTAGAGATGATTTTTTCTAATATATGTGTCACTATATTTTTGTAAATAATGGCAATATTTTGAAAACTTTGTTTTCAATGAATAACAAACTGCGCAAATTCTAGAAAAAACAAAAAACTGTTGCAGAGATTTTTCTCAAAACTCGCAACCGCAGTTGTACAACATAAATTTTGTTGTACAACCGACATTAAGTTGCGCAACTTAACCTTGAAAATGTTTCCATTATAAAACAAAGTTGTTGTGCAACTGTTGTGCGACATTTCTACAACTATTGGAAACCAAGCTTTAGGAAATCTTGAAAAAACTATGAAAATGCTATGGTTATAATTAAAAATTATAATTTAAAGTTAAAGAAATGAAAAGAACTGGTAAACCAAACCATTTTATTACTTTTGCCTGCAACCCAATATAGTAGTGTGTGGTAAAAAAATGTGTACAAATTCATTTTCAAATGTTGTTAATTAATATTTTATAATATGTATGTTTTCATATGGAATAAAGTAAATGTTAATAGTTTATTAGATATAATTTCAATGTATAATTATATACTTTATACTCTTTTTTTTTCTTTCTTTTTTTTTATGTTTTAAAAGTAGTGTTACTTTGCAGTGTGTAAAGTTGCCAGTGATGAGATGTTACTAAGTTGTGGTGTTACTTGGTGGGTGGTCTTAACTTCTGTTAATTATTTTTTACTCAGGTCACTTTGGAACTGATTAAGTATAAATCTTACTATAATCAGTATCAAAATATAAATACTAGAAATTGGTAAGCTACATATCTTTTTCTTTTTTTTTCAAAGTTATTAATTTTAATTTCTTAGATCCATCAGATAAGTGCAAATATTTATACTTTAATTGAAATTCAACCACATGTATATCTACTTTTTATTATACTCAACTTTCTCTTTACTTTCAGATATTCTACGATATCACAACTGATAAGTTAAAGATTATTATAATAACTTAGTTTTTATGACTGTAATTAATTAGACTATTATCAGATTTGTTATATATTTTAGTTCTAATATTAGTCACTACATTTTTTTTACAAATCAAATTTTATTAAATTTTCATATAACTGATTATAATTATGCTAAAATAAAATAAATTTATAATTTTTTTTTTGAAGTTCAAACACAATTAAGTTCTTTTTTCTTCTTTTTAGTTGTCATTGCTTTATTAGTATGCTTACTGTTGAAACATGGTTTTAATTTAGTAAATTTTTATGATATGAAATTTACTGTGTTAATCATTATTAACAGTTATGAAGAAATTGGAAGTCTAAACTATTAGGGTAACAATAATTTTATTTATTAACATTAAAAAGCCTTTTTCTTTATGATTAATTGTGCTATAGCTATTTTGTGCTAAAATATATACTTTTTGTCATTAAAAACGATAACTTAAGTTATAAATATAATAACTTATTCTAACTTTTTAAACACAGTGCCTTTAAAACAGTCTATCTCCTCTCTGTTTAATGAAATTTTATAAATAAAGAAGAGCATTATTGGAACACTCTGTTATTACTAAGCTCTTATGTTTTTTTTGTACCATAATTGATAATTGGCATGTTTTACGAGTCACTAATTCATAAACATAACAATAAAATAATGCTCTCCTTTACTAATAAACTTAATTATTCTAAAACACAATAATAAATATGTAAAATAATGCTTTTGTAGTTTAAGATGATCTTTTTTGAAGCATTGGTGAGTTGTGCTTGGCTTTCCTTTTCTGGTGCTTGCTGTAATTAAAAAGAACCTAATATTTAAGTTTCGTGGTTTTAACTAAACGCCAAAACTAATAAAAGCAAGAAAACCAAAAAGATTATATTATACAGATAGGGATGCTATTGTCCCAATTTTTACAGAGGAGAGCGCAATGCTAAAACTAGTTGAAACTTTTATAGGGTTTTTCAGCAGAAAAACAGGGACAATGGCATCCCTTTATATAGTTAAATTTGTATTTTTTATTTTTTATTAACTCTTCCCAGATAATTTTCAGAATTTCGGATTTTTTTTTTAACTATTAGTTTTTCCGGATATCCAAAATATTTTGCATACATACAAGTTTAGGTATATATTTTTGTGGTAGATTTGTTTTTTAATACTTTTCACTCATCATTTATAGAAAAGTTAAGGTTTGGATAAAAAATTTAAAACAACTCAGCTAAAAGCAAATTTAAGAGAAAAATGTATTGCGGATATTTTACCCAAAAAATTTTGCGGATTTTTAAAATATGACCTGGACGATCTACGATTAAGTTAAATTGTCATTTATTCATTACTATCCCGTATTACGGGTTGCTTACTGCTAGTGTTTATAAATATATCAATTGATTTCAATAAAAAAGGCAGAGTATAACTATTTTTTAAATATATTTTGATATAATAATATATTAACAATATAAATAATAATAATCTAATATATTTAACATATAATAATATAGTTAATACATTATTATATCAAAGTATATTTAAAATATAGTTATACACTGCCTTTTTTATTGCAATCAATTTATATATACAATATATATATATATATATATATATATATATATATATATATATATATATATATCTATATAAATAAATATATATATATATATATATATATATATATATATATATATATATATATATATATATATATATATATATATATATATATATGTATCTATATATTTATATATCTATATATATATCTATATATATATATATATATATATATATATATATATATATATATATATATATATATATATATATATATATATATATATATATATATATATATATATATATATATATATCTATCTATATATATATATATATATATATATATATATATATATATATATATATATATATATATATATATATAGATACATATATATATATATATATATATATATATATATATATATATATATATATATATATATATATATATATATATACATATATATATATATATATATATATATATATATAAATATATATATACATATATATATATATATATATATATATTAATATATATATATATTAGGGTGTCCCAAAAAACAACATTTTTGAAAATAATCTGCTCTCACCCCCTAAATGTGTTCTATCTAATACAAAAACACTAGGTTTAAATTTTTTTTGAATAAAAATATTTTAAGGGGTCCCTCAAGACCCTCGAATATTTAATGGGTCCCTAATATTTTCGAAAAAAAAGTTTTTCAAAAATATGTCAACCTGGTACTCAAATGAAGCGAAATTATATAAATATTTCAAAAATAATATTCATTTTGAAATATTTTTAACTTATTTATCAAAATTATCATAAAAAAACAGAAATGCATTATTTTCATTTTTCCTTAAAAAATGCAATTTTTTATGTAATAAAACCAAAAATAACAATTTTGTTTTGAAATGAATATTATTTTAAAATTTTTTATATAATTTCACTTCATTTAAGTACCAGGTTGACATATTTTTGAAAAATTTCTTTTTCGAAAATATTAGGAACCTATTAAATATTCGAGGGTCTTGAGGGACCCCTTAAAATATTTTTTATTCAAAAAAAATTTAAACCTAGTGTTTTTGCATTAGATAGAACACATTTAGGGGGTTAGAGCAGATTATTTTCAAAAATGTTGTTTTTTGGGACACCCTAATATATATATATATATATATATATATATATATATATATATATATATATATATATATATATATATATATATATTAATTAGTAGAAAATCACTTAACAAAATTTTTTCATTTAACACTGTGTTTCATCAATAAAGACTCATCAGAAATAAATTTCTTTCACTTCTGATGAGTCTTTATTTCATTTCTGATGAGTCTTTATAGGTGAAACACAAATATTTTTGTTAAGTAATTTACTTTCAAATTATTATTGCTCGGTTCTTTTAAGAACATCAAGCAATGTAGAATACATTTTAAAATTGTTTATATAAATATTCAACCCTTGGCATTAGGAAAAAATGAGGTAGGCAATAATTTGCCAACCTCAACCTTTCAGAGGTCAGCAAAAAAATTTTTTATACAAAGGTCTTACCATAAAACATAGAAACAAGGTTGATATTTTTTTGCTGACCCCAAAAACTTTTAAGTTGGCAGTTAGGTTGACATTGCCGAATGCCGACCCTAATTCTGAGGGCTGTATATATATAAATACACATAAAAAGAATATCAAAAATTACCGTTAGTTGAGTCAACTTCTATACCTAGATCTTTTGCGTATTGATCACCATACCAAACAAGAAGTTCCATACCTTTATCTATTTGTTTATAAACATTGTAGAAAATTTCACCATAATATTGAACTGCCATAAGATTTTGCTCCGTCTCAACACGTGCACAATTTATAAATCTCATCCAATTGCCAAGTTGTTCATCTTTTCCATCAATACAATGTAAAACATTACCATCTTTTATTATCTAAATATTTACTCAACTTTTTAACATAATAAAATTACTAGATGAAATAAATATTTTTTTAAATTAATTATAAAAAAATAAAAATTAAACAAACAAACTTGTATTGTGATTAATTAAAAAAGTATTTCCTTTAGGCCTTGGGTATTTTTAAAAATTTTTTAATAAAATAAAAATAAAACAGGGAATAAAACTCAAGATGATACAAATATAAAAATATATAAAATATATAACTATATAAAGATGTTTATAAATATATCTATAAAACTATATATAAAAAAAATCTTCAAACTACAATCTTATAATAATTCAAAAAAACTCTAAACAACATTACAAATTTCTTGATAACTCTTGTCTGATTTTAAACCTTATTTATCAAAAAACCTGAAAACAATACTTATTTAAGTTGAAAAATCTACTGATAAAATATCTCAAAGAAGATTGGATCAACTATTTTTGTAGCAAAGTGATTTAAAAGCATACTTTTTAACAATAAATATTGTTTTTGTTTTAACAATGCAGTGTTTGATTTCTTAACTTTTTATATTACCTTTATATGGCTTCAAGTTATATACAATAACTATTATACCATAATAATTTATAACTATTTTTTAATTAACTTTTAAACTTTTTAATTAATTTTTAAATTATTGGGTCGTAACATAAGTTCGTAGAGTTTTTTCATAAAGATTTGAACAAAAAACAATAATTATAATAATAAATTAATCAATGATATATTCTCCGTTATTGTTTACAACCTCCTCCCATCTCTTGACCAATTCGTTGGTGCCATTTCGCCAAAAATCAGTCTGTCTGGTGTTGAAGAAGTTGTTGAGCCAGTTTTTAAGATCCTCTTTGCCATCAAAGGTAACACCCCTCATTTGGTTTGATAGAGAGCGGAAAAGGTGATAGTCAGTAGGTGCAAGATCCGGAGAGTACGGTGGATGCTGAAGAACCTCCCATTCAAGCTCTTGGAGTGCTGTTTTGACGACTTAGGCAATATGGGGCCTGGCATTGTCGTGGAGCAAGATGACTTGACCTTGTCTATCAGGTTTTTTCAGCCGAATAGCCTCATTTACATGGTTCAGCTGGGCAATGTAGACCTCCTTGTTGACAGTGGCGTTTCGTTCGAGCATTTCCCAGTCCCACCAAATACAGATCATGGCCTTTTTTGGGTGGCGGGCGAGATGTTAAGCAGCAATTTGAAGGCGTTTTTCTTTGTTTTCTTCGTTGAGCTCGTGAGGTACCCATGCTCCAAGTTTTTGAGTAAAACCAATTGATTGAAGGTGGCGAGAGATTGTCATTGCACTGCAGGCCTTGTTTTAAAGCGTTACGATTTACGTACGCCTTAAGCGCTTTTTACGTACGCGTAGAGCTGTTTTGGTTAAGCTACTTTTTATCATTTTTTAACTTTTTAATTAGCGGTAACATAAAAGAAGTAATTAATTTTGAAAAAAAACCACATTAACTTTTAAATAACGATATGTAAAGGTATTTATTTAAAAAAAAATTGTTGTAACTTTTCATCGCGATATATCTTTCCTTTTTATAGCAATTAATTTGACGCTAAACTTTTTATCCAAATATTTAGCAACATGAAAAATTGTTTGTCAATCCCTAACTACAAATTTTTTGCAATGTTTTAAATAAAAAGTAGTAATTTTTTAAAGTTTTTAGTAAAAAACTTTAAAAAAATCTATATTCCATATTTATTAATACAGAATATAAAAGTTTTTTGTAATATAGATTTTTTATGAATTTTTTACTGAATTTATAATAGAAAACATTTGCAAAAAAATTTGTAATTCAGAATTGACATTTTTTTAAATAAAATCTGAAAAAATGTCTTAATATTTTTGTTATCATGATAACAAAAATATTAAGACATTTTTTCGAGATGTTAAAGAAAATGTCTTTGCTTTTCTTATTAGTTTAACAGTATATAGCTTATAGTTAGTTTAATAGTATATAGCTTTTCTTATTAGTTTATTAGTATATAGTTTAAGTTATGCGGGAGGAGGGGGTCGGCACAGAAAAAAAAAATTACCTGTTACTCGCAGTATTTGAATGAAGACAATTTGTTAAAATTCTTCTGAGTGCGATTCAATAAGTTTTTTTTTCATAAATCAAGTTATAATATAAGGTAAAGAAATCATGAGTAGACTACAACATCCGCTGATGACACTAATATTACGTTGAATATATTTATATAACGGAGGTTTTATTATGCACGCGCACATTACAGGTTCCGTTAAATAAATACTTAGGCACGTTTTAGTTAAATGACAGTCTCCATTTTTTACTAATGAATATGTATTTTTCTTTATAAAACAAAACAAACTAGTATATAAAAACCTTGTATATTTCTATTATCTCTAAATTGTTTAAAGTTCGAATATGGATTGTATTTTGAAGGACAAAAGATTTACTTTAAAAACTTTTAAATCTTGGGATTTTGCTGATGCGATGATCACAGAAAAAGAGAAGACTTACGTTATTAAAATCAAATGTAAGTTATGTGATCTTCATCAAAATAAAATATTATCCAAAAACAATAGTGCCGTAAGGGCAACTGCCCAACGGTTTATAAATAATACAAGTCATGTTAAAATATTTTAACATGTTACTATATTTTAATTAAGTTGATATATAATTAAAAATAAAAACATAGTTCAATAAATAAATTAAATTTATTCTTAACAAAGATTACCTCGTATTTATTATTTTTTTTATTTTATTAAGTTAAATTGCTTACAAACGAAAAAAAAAAAAAAAGAGTTTTGTAATTATACGTAGAATGAAAATACTTTTGAGTTTGTTTATAAGTTAAGGAACTTAATTTTTAATAAACAAATTTTTACGAATGTTTATTATAAACAGATACGATTCAAATTATTAAATATACTTAAATTATTTCAGTTGAGTATTTTTCTAAGTTTGCACAATTAAAGTTTGGCGTAGAAGTATTTGTTTTTTTGTTTTAAGAATAATTAACAAATGAGTTTGCATAATTAAGACTTTTATATTTAATTTAATTTTTAGTTTTTAATTTCCTAAAATTAAAAAAAAAAAAGATTTAATCGTTGAAAACGATTTTTCTCTAGCTCTGTTTCTTTGTGATTTGTTTAAAAAGTTAAATATTTTTACAATAACATAAAAAATTTATGAATTAAATTCCTAGCGAACGCATTCTAAACTACGTATCAAAAATATGTTCAAAGCAGACAAAACTTTTTTATATTTTTATAAAACGCAAGTTGAAACGCTTTTAATAATTTAAAAAATATTTAAAAACTTAAATTTTTCTTTGCTAGTCAAAACAAAATCGTTGTTTAAATAATTAACATGGGTTTGTGTTTATCAATGTTAATATTTTTTGTTTACTCTAGAAATTTTTAAAAATAAAAAAAATCATTATTATTTTTTATTCAATAACAATTAAAAACAATTATTCAAAAACAAATTTCAGAAATAATTAATATATATATATATATATATATATATATATATATATATATATATATATATATATATATATATATATATATATATATATATATATATATATATATATATATATATATATATATATATATATATATATATATATATATATTAGGGCTGTCCAAAAAAAATTTTTTTTTCAGATTTGATTGCATAGTTGTTTATTTTGTGCCATTTGACATATTAATTAACTGTGCAAAAAATCTTTCCGATCAGATAATGTTTAGGGGGTGCTCAATGACCATAAAGTTTTACGAAAAATGTGAAAAACATGGAAAAAGTAACAAAGTTCCACAAATTTCTAAAACCCGGTTAATTAGATTTTTCAGATTTGATCAGTTTTAACTATCTCTAAATATTAAATTCTGAATACAAATTACAATCCACATCCACTTTATACTGGTTTATTAGCAAAGAAATTAATGAAACAAAATACTGCAATACGACTAAAGTTCTGCGGTTTTTGTTATATCAGAATTTTTCCAAAATAAAACACTAAGATTTTTGACTCTTTGTCATTGATTAAAATACGAATTATAAACAAAAAAAATTATTGTAAAGGAGTAACAGTTTCTCAAACCGTTATCAACTACTAAGTAGGTCAACTCAAAAACATATGAGCAATTAACATTTAATTATTGTAATGTTATAGTTTGTGCAATGTTAATGCTAGCGAGGACTATAACTCTTCAGAGTACACTTTCTGGCATCTGGCACTCGCTTTCTGTGATCCTCAACCACCTGAATTAACCTCTGCATTTCAGATTCATTCCTTGTAATCGATTCATTAAACATCGACATTAAAGCCACAGATCGTTCGGCAGCATCATTTACTACTTTCAATGAATATACTAAATTTTTTCCTTCTTGGTATTCTGGGGAATCATTCCAGGTAGCTGGATCGTTGTTGAACAGAAAATCAATATCAACCTTCATTGACCGCAATGCACTTGCTGAAACTGATGTCACCAGCATGTCCAGAGATTTCTTCTCTAGACTTTCAATATTCTTTAATTTGATCAACCTTTCAGACCAGTTCTCACCGTGAAATTTCATGTTGGAAATCATTTTTTGCTTCTCTTCCGTTTTAAGTTTGTTTGAAAACAAAGCTAGTGGGACCAATTCTGGTGAAAGGTACCACAAATAGTTTTGAAATTTCTTGACTGCTGCTTCGGCAATCGTTTTATTCACAACTGCAAACTGCTTAAGTTGCTGAAACAGAAACAAGTCATTAACTGGAGCATCGCTGGCATTTGGGCATGATATCCAAGATTTTACATAAACCAGACTAGCAAATAAGCATAATTCAGAGATTTTTTTCCTCTTTTGTGGTCAACTTGAACTCTTCACGAAATAAATAAATCTTAAAACAATAAATAACCTTGGCTCTCCAGCGAGCCATGTGATAAGCACCAGGGATCTTGAAATGATAATTTTTCTCTTCTTGATCAGGCAGTTTTCCAAGTATTAACAGACAGAGATCCATGATTTCTTTGTAG